TATGGAAGGAGACTACTGCCCTGAGCGCCTCCCATACTGGTGAGAAAAGCCCAGGACCTAGTGAGAAAGGGAAATCTGCCTTCCTGTTGGGAAGGCCGGCTGCAGAGTTGCTTACCTGGAGCTAGGACACTTTTACAGAGGGAGAAAAAGTCTACGCTTCTCTCCAGGTCTGCTTTGTTAGTTGACAGCAATGATAACCTCACGTTGGTGCTCATGGTGTAAGTGAATTAGTGACAGCAATGTTAAAAGGTCTGGGAGGCAGGAATGGGGAGGTTTTCATTAGTTGCCTGTACTACCTAGGAAGCAGCGCAGTGTTATTTGGAAGTGGGCTTAGGTTACTTGTAAATGTTGCTACAAACTAGAGGGAAACTACTAACATTATCAAAAAGAAAAACAAAATATGATTGATAAGCCAAGAGAAGAGAGAAAAATGAAAGTGGTTTTTTAAAATGTGAAATTATAATATATATATATATGTATATATGAAATTTAGTACAGGGTGTCACTATGTAGATTGGACTGTAGTGATTCTTCTGTTTTCAGTCTCCCAAGCGCTGGGATTACAAGTGTGTGCCATCACGCCCAGCCTTGTGCGCCATCTCCGCGCACCCTGAGGGTGGAGCTGGCATGAAAAATGCGAAATTATAAAGGAATAATGATTATACAGAGGAGCTATGAAATTGAAAACAATTAAAGTGGCATTATGTATGCCATTATAAATCTTTACATAATAGTAATTACTTAAAATTTGAATGCATTAAATTTTCCATTCAAAAGACACAGTGGCTGACTTTTTTTTTTTTTTGGTGGAACCGGGGATTGAACTCAGGTCCTTGAACTTGACAGGGAAGTGCTCATTCTACTGAGCCATCTTCCTGGGCCCCTGAATTTTTTTTTTTTTTTTTCCTGTATTTTTAGGGAAGGTTCTAGAGGGTGTTCAAGGTCTCACTACTAGATCAGACTCCTAGTGATTCTCCTGTTTATAGACCACACCCAGTCTCAATTGCCTTGTCAGCACTCCCCAGGGCCGGGGCCAGCAAGGCAGGCCCAGGGATCGAACTCTCATCCCCTGCTCTGACTTGCAGGCACTTTAATCCACTGAGATATTTGGCTGGCCCCAGCTGAATGGATTTAACAAAGATCCAATCCTATGCTGCCTATAAAACACTTAACTTTAAGAATATGTAGTCTGCAAAGGAAGGACTAGAAAGAGATGCTCCATGAAAACGTTAACCAAAATAAAACAAAGGTGGCTTATGGCTTGTATCCAGATGCTCCCCTAAAGTCTCATGTGCTCACAGGTAAGGTTTTGGGGAGGTGCCTGAATGGTAGGTAAGGCTTTGGGGAGGTGTGTGATGTTGGATTAGGGCGGTGAGAACTAAACTGGTTTAGCATAATTATGGGTGTGGATAATGGAAAGGGCCATACAATGTGTGGTGTAGCCTAGATGGAATATAGAGAGAGACCTGCTGTTGCCTGCCTCTCATGGACAGTTTCTTCTCCATGATACCCCTTTGCCGTCGTGCCAGGCCTTGGAGCCAGCTCACTATGGACGGAAAGCTTTACGAAAGCTAAATAAACCTTTCCTCCTTGAACTTGTGGATTTCAGGTGTGTTGCCTTAGTGACAAGAAAGGCAAGACTGACTCTGCTTAGCTCAGACAAAAGAAAATTCATGTATGTTCAAAGGAAATGATACCAAGTGCTGATAAAGGAATAGTGATAAGCTATGCAGCTAGCTATATGGTATTTTACAAAAGTAGACCCTGCACGAGGAACTACGTGGGTGAACCTAGAAGATATTAATCTAGATCTAACAAGACAAACACAGAAAGAAAAACACTGCACGATGTCTTGTGTGTATGAACCTTTTTTAAAAAATATGTTGAATGAGGGGCCAGCCTAATGCCTCAGTGGACTAGAGCACCTGTTAGGCAGGGCCCAGCAGCCAGGATTCGATCCCTGGTGTGCCGAGCTGGCCCTGCCCACGGGGTGTGCTGAGACGGCGATTGAGACTGGGCGTGGTGGCACGTGCCTGTAATCCCAGCGCTTGGGAGGCTGAAAACAGGAGAATCACTACAAATCTGATCTACATAGTGAGACCCTTTAGACACTGTCCTAAATACAGGGAAAAAAAATGTGTTGAATGAATAGAAATAGAGAAGACAAAGGTTACCAGGGTGTGTGTTTCATGGGGGTGGAAACGGGAAGAAGTGGGGGAAAGGGTTCTAAGAAGCATGTGGTATACCTTCAATATATACAAGTAAAACTAAATAAAATATCACCTAAATTTAAAAAAAGATCCTGTTTAAAAGCGTATGCATCCGAAAAAGGAAGGTAAAAAGTGTGGAGGACCATATGGACAGCGCTCCCTGAAAGAAGAGCATTTGGCCCTACCTCTATGTGTAGCTAGGTACACACAGGCAGCTAGCTGGTGACGACATTTGCTTGGCCCCTCCATTGGCTTTAAGCAACGTCAGTGGGTCTAGCCAGGTGCTGTTGTGTAGTCTTTAAAGCAGCGGTCAGTGGTGCCCCACCTACAGCTCCTGAGTAACATGTGGCAGAGTGAAGCCACGCTGTCAGCTGAGAATGAGTCTCAAGAAAAGAGGCTAGGATTTCTCAGGGCACGGGTCACACATCAGAACTAAAGCTCTGACCCCAAAACAACAGACACTACCCATGTATGCTCTGCAGACTACGCTGTCTGCATAGCCCAGGGGTGACCTCGGGCCTCCCTAGCCCGGCTCATAGCACTCATGTACTGACCACAGTTCTCACTGTCATTCATCTCCAAGCCCTCTTCATGAATTAATAAAACCCGTGTTCACCCCTGGGTCTTGGCCTTCGCTCTGGTTAGCCATTGTTCTAGCTAGACTCAGGACCCCCGGCTCCCCACAATTACAAATAGGCCTTAGTGTCTTTATTCTTGCCATGGGTTGCACTAGAAGCTGTGGATTGGAATTAACTTATTGAAATTCCAATAACTTTCTTCTAGAATTACAAATATAAACTCCAGGGACCTCAATGAGGTCCAGAAGGGCTTTCTGCAAAAACAACAGATGCAGTGAATAACAAACCATTACAGACATAAACATGATCCACATTAATCCAACTGTATAAAAATCGATCTAAAAATAAATGATCAAAATTCACCAATCAAAAGACACAACTTTAGAAAAACTGATGTATAATTTATTATTTTAGAAGACAGTAATTTTATTTTTTATTTTGAAGAAGAAAAAAGCAAAAACAGATAGTAGAAACAAAGACAGAAACAGGACAACATATAGGAGTACACATGGTACAGATTTTGAAAACGAGAATAGCTAATTAACAATGGTTATATTATCTATTTTTATCATCAGATATATTGCTCAGATTAACAGAAATAGTTATGCAAGATTGGACAAATAATTATTAATGCTTGCTTTCAAGAAACCTTAACTTGTTTTATTTTCTTTAATTTAATTTAATTTAATTTTGAAGACTGAAAACAGAAGCAAAAACAAATAGAGAAGAGCTGGAGAGATGGCTCAGTGGTCTAAAGCACCTACTTAGAACAAGCTTAGCAAAACACAGGGACCACGGTTCAATCCCCCAGCACCACATGCCAGCCAGCCCCGCCCCCTGGTGGGCTGAGCTGGCCACACACATACAAATAAATAAATAATTAAAAAAAAAATAGAGAAAAAGACAGAAACAGGGTAACTCACAACAATACATATGGTATAGGTTTTCAAAACAGGAATAGCTAACAATGGTTGTTATAACATCATTTTTATCATCAAATCTGTTGCTCAGAGTAACAGACATAGTTATGCAAGATTGTGGAAATAATTGAATATTGGCACTTGCTTTTAAGAAATCTCAACTTGTTCTTGTCTTTTTGTTTTAATTTCTTTTAAAGAGGGTATAATAATTGATAAGACATTAGAAATGGAACACAGTTAGAAGACCAAGATGAGATGTATTCAACCATGGGTTTTGTACTACACAGGAATAATTTCAAATATATAGACACAGAAAAAATAAAAGGATTTTAAAAACCCAGCCATGGGGACGGGGAGGAGATGGCTCAGTAGAACAAGCGCTTGCCTGAGTTCAATCCCCGGTTCCACCAAAAAAATAGTTGTAGTACTTGCACACCTGGGTGTGGTGGCACATGCCTATAACCCCAGCAGAAGAGAGGTTCACAGAGAAGGATCGTCTCAAGTTCAAGGCCAGCCTGGGCTACATAGTGACTTTAAATCAGCCTGAACTGCACAGTGAGAAACCCTGTCTCAAAAAACCATAGTGGTTTCAGATAAAGTATACTACAGAACAAGCAAAATTATTAGGGGCGATGGCGATATTACTTAATCACAAAGGGGTCAGATCTTCAAAAAACATAGCAGTCCTCAGTGGTTCATCTACTTACTAAGAGAGTGTCAAAACTTCAGGTCTCATCAGTAGTTGGTAGAGTTAGCAGGCAGAAAATCAATACAGATATTTTTGATCTAAATATCACTATACATTAACTTGATCCCCTTGATATTTATTCAATAATTTACCCGACAATACCAAAATATTCTTCTCAAGCTGACATGAAAATTCACCAAGTTAAACACATTCTAGACCACAAATACAAAATTTTTTTTCTTTTTTTTTTCAAAATATTTTGACAAATACAAAAGAGTAGAGCCGGGCATACTGGGGCACACCTGAAATCCCAGCACTTGAGAGGCTGAGGCAGGAGGACTGTTGCGGCCAGCCTGGGTGAGTTCAAGGACAGCTTGAACTGTATAGGAGACTCGTCTCAAACAAAACGAAACAAAATAACAGCAGTAACAGTAACAAAATACTATGAAAATACGGATCAAATTTATGCTAAATAAAAATGAAAATACCACTTATGATGTGGAGTGCGGCAAGAGCATTGCTTACAGTGACATTTAAAGCTTTCAGCTGCAAATTTAGAAAACAGGAAAGAGCTACAACTTCTGAGACCCTCTGGTGTACTTACCTGATGGAGTCCTCTCTGGCTGCACAGTATTGGGAGGCAAGCATTTGTCTTCAGGTAGCACAAAGACAGAAGGAGGAACCCCAAGCCACAGAGGCAGTCAAGGACAGGGATACCCAGGAAGCCAAACTGGAGTTCATCCATTCCAGCAAGATCCTCAGACAGCGGTGGTGGTGCCCAGCATCCAAGGATGGACGCTGACAATGCACATTCCAGACCGTGGTTCCAGGCCCACGCCACAGAGCTTTGGCGCAAGCAGAGGTTCCGAGGAGGGGGAGGGGTGCCGCGGGAGCTGAAGCCGCAGGCCTCCCCCTGGGCCCGGGATCCGCTGTCCAGGCCCCTGGGGCCCTTCGGATTCCTATACCTTTCCCTCTAACTGCACTTTTATTGCATAGCGTGTATCGACCTCAATGACACTCTCTACTTGTTCCGACAGTTTGCTAGATGTTGTGGAAGGCTTTCACTGCGTAGCAATCTCTCTGCTTTCCACACAATCTTTCGAAGT